GTCTGTGCCTCGCTCTGTTCAATTACTGTGTTTAAGCTTTGAATGTTTTGTGCTTCCTCCTCTTGCACATCCTGGTGTTAGTATTCATGTATGTATTGGTTATTTCCTGTTTTACTTAAAGCGGTTTTTTTTCTTTTGGTTTCTACATATGTTCTGTTCCCCTAACAGGCACTCTGTGCTTATATGGCTCTGTTTTTCCCTCCTAATTCTTTAGTTGTGCTTCGCCGTTTGTGATCCTGTGACTCACCTTTGCTTATTGATCATGAGCCTATTAACGGCATGACCCTTATTACTTTGTCTGGCTACTGTCTTGCATCTGAGTCCTCCTCATCACTATAAAACCCAGAATTAGATCTATCCTCATATTGTAGCAACTTGACAACCACAAGGTATAATTTAGGCTCTTTATTTTACAATATAAAGTGCATGTTGATTTGACACTATATAAAACTGAATTGAAGGTAGCCATGCCCCAAAGAAAACTCTTATTTATCATCTGTTTTGCTCAAAATGTGACCAAAATTTACAAAATGAACACAATCCTGTATCAATGAAGACTCAAAACTAGAAATTTATACAACAAACACAGGCAGAACGGTGTTTACTGGGGTCATAAATCAAGCGAAAAACATTATTCAGATAGACTCCTATACATGAAGTCTAATTGGCCCCCCACTGGCCATTACACAAAATGCAGACTTACGTCATTTCCACACTGGCGTCACAACTGGAGTCTACGTCTATTTCAAAATGCAACTAAATATGACCAAATCATATACAAATATGAACAACGACGCATGAGTGCAAAACATTTTTACAAATAAGATGAAAGTCATACCTATCTTGAGGGTCCTGCGGGCTCCATGTTTGTTGTTGTAGCAGATTCGCTGCAGCTCGCAGCGTCCTGTAAACTTCCTGACAACAAACTTTAGGCCCCGCCAAAGACACTTGCAGTAGAGGAACACAAAGAACTGGGTCACAACTCTGCAAGGGAGAAAACAAGGGGATTATACTCCTAAATATTTACACAGATATTATATACAGTGGGTAAAATAAGTATTGAATACATAACCAATTTTCTAGGTAATATATTTCTAAAGGTGCTATTGCCATGAACTTCTCACCTCCATTTCTCAGGATTACACATAATTTATGGGCATCTGTGGTTTGATTTCTTTGCCTGTGTGGATTGGATGTGTTGTTACCGACATCAGGTGAGTAATGAAATAATAAATAACTGTAGGTATGATTTTTTTTTTCATCCTGTATGCTTTTTTACAGTTCAGCATATTACACAAATATGCCTGCATAAATTTATTTTTGACCAATTTTGTTTCACATTAAGTTTGAGACAAAGACACTGAAGTGAAAATGCAGACGCAGAGAGGAAGACACAAAGTGTCAGAAGAGTGTGCTTCACTTCTTGTCTACTAGGGGAGACTTGCAGCACATCAAAGTGTGCTATTTTTGCAGGGGACGCTGAGAATGAAAATGGAAATGTCCTGGGAAATGCATAGTGACCCATTAAGAGAATAAATGATTTCCGGCCTTCATCCGCCTCGGTCTGCAGAGAATGCTGAACATCACCCTGAACACAATCCTTTTTTTCTTCTCAATGTTTTTCCCATCGGTTGTCTCGCTAAAGATTGAAAATTGTATTTTCCACTATTACACTCAAAAAAATGAAATTGGGTGGTTGTTACATTTGCAAAATTCAAACTTGTAATGTGAACAAAATAATTTTATGTTTCTGTGGTGAACGGAATTAAATCATGTAGGATCTGCATGAAATCCGGCAACTTAATTTATTCTTGTTGAGATGACATGATACAATCTAGTAACAGTGGTTAGTTGCCTGGACTCACAAAATTCTCAAGATCACACAAGAGTTCAAACCACAGGAAAATCACTGGGGTTAGAAGAGACAGACAACCATACACACACTACATATATGCCATAGCTATTTATTGTGGTTTAACCTGTAAAGGACAAAAATGTACAGAAAATTCTATATCAAGCATTGTAATCATAGCTTCCCTATTTTTTTGAAGTCTACATTGACAGCTCGGTGGCACAGTGGTTAGCACTGTTGCCTCGCAGCAAGAAAGTCTTGGGTTCAAATCTGCAATCTGGCCAAGTTTGCAGTGGGTTCTCTCTCGGGGACCCCAAAAGTAAAAGTCATGCAGTAATTAGGGTTAGGTTAATTGGTGTTTCTAAAAGATCTGTGAACATGAGTGCAAATGGTTGTCTGTCTCTCTGTGATAGACTGGTGACCTGTCCAGTACTCTGACTCTCACCCTATCACATCTGGGATAGGGTGAGACTGCAACCCTGGTAAAGTTAAGAGGATGGATGGAGTTATTATTATAAATCCATTAACATTTTATGTTAACCAGACTCTAGACTTTGTTGAACACTCCAAAAAATAACTCTTTAAATGAACTTAAAATAATCATGCTTTCTATTACGATTAAGCATTTAGTCGCACTAATGTAATTTGCATGGGTTGGATCAACTCAATTAAATTAAGTTGGACTCAACTGTAGTAAAACAGTTGATTCATCATTAATTAATCACGTTAGTCTAACTCAAGTACATTAAGTTGGAATAACAGAATTGCATAATGCTAAAATAAAGCAATTTATTTACGTGGAAATTCTTTCCATGATTTTTTTATGTTAATTCAAAGAGTTATTTTTTTGAGTCTACTACTTTTTTTTATTTCCAATGTATAAATGGATTGGAAGCATTAGTAGGTAAGCTAATGGTAGCAAGAAAGCAGATTTTGTGTAGCGATTGGGAGGACTCACAGTACTTTAAGTACACTTGAAAACTTTTCTTTTCTATCCAGCTGCTAAACCTCTATCTTTGTTCAGCATTTACAATTTTTCCAGACAGCTTGTGCACAAAGATCACAGTAGGACATGATCTTCAGTATTAACAACAAAAAATAGAAGGTAAGAAAGGTCCGTGGGGATTAATCTCTCGTTCTCAGTTTGTGGATGAGACTGGCATGTTGAACAGCTCGTACTGACATTCAGCTTTTTAACCTTCAAGGAAGCGAACACCGAGCAAAGGGAGAGTGAAGGAGGCGTTTAAGGTTATATAGCAACCCACAATTACAGGCTTAATACACAGAACTGTCTAATAAAATGTCCTTGAACAACACACTTGCCAACTGCTAATCTATTTTAAAGGGTTACCCCACTGAGTCATACACATAAAGGTCAGTTTGCTGGTTATTGCGAGACCTGCTCATCCTGTGAAAACGGTCAAAACAATGGAGACAACCTCCCACCATCATTTTATTAAACTTCACTTTGATTTAATTACACACAAGAAAAAACCCTAACTGATGTCCCCAGCTGCTAAAATGATTAAAGGGTTTCCGTTAATTCCTTCAAAATACTCTGATCAGCCAAAAGCATGAATCATATTTCCACCTCTAAACTATTGGTAGAGTCATCGTAGCACATTAGAATAATTACTGTAAGCAAACACAGCCATCAGTGAAAAACATTGGCAGCCTCTACTGGCTTCTACTGTTCATTAAAAGTTAATGAAGCAAAATTTTCTCCAACAAATTTATTCATTCACTTGGGAAATCAGTTGGGATTTATGGGAAATTTAGTATGAACTGGGGCAAAGGGGGGGGGAAAGCACTGGTGGGTAAAGCCAATTTAAAGATTGATGACTACAGATGTGGAAAAAGCACAGTTATGAATACTGCTGGCTTTGCTAAATGCAAAACATTTAAGAATCTAGCTCCAAAATACTGCCAAGTTATTTTTTTCTCCGTCATTTGGTGTTTTACATTAAAGGTCTTTTATTTCACCTGTGTTTTGTTCCCCCCTCGTGTTTTGTCTTTCTCTTTGTCGAGACGTTTACTACGCCAACACAGTTTCACAGCAGCTTGTGAAATGTTCACAGCTTCTAATCGTATTCATGGACATTAACCTCCCCTCCTTATTTTCACGTCCCTGAATACATTTATACATGTCAAGCTTTATATGTACAGATTCCTATGGATGCTTGTTTCCACTAAAGAACAAAATGTCCGTCCTTAAGTCAAAAGTTTGAGTTATGCAACTCGAAATTTTGCCTTACATGAGCATACTTAGTCATCATTTTATCAGTCTCAATTTAGCCCTGCATGGGAATTTTATTTATTTATTTCATTGGCAGTAACGCGCTTCCATGGATTTCTGTGAATGTACAGAAATGTAATATTTTAGCCTTTTAAAGGACAAAAAAGACCATATTTGGAAGTTGGTGATGGAGCAAAATGTTCTACTGCCTGCAGCAGAAAACATGCTACAGACACATGCACGTCTGTCTGCCTAAGAACTTCAGTCCAAGACAAACAAAATCTGATCTGCTGCTAAGCTGTCAATCATCTAGACCAATTTAGAACCACCAGTTAGAGTGGTAGACATAGTCTTTGGACTATGGAAATAAGCCAGAGAATCAGGACAAAACACACAACAAACTTAACACAGAAAACTAACCAGGCCATTTAAACCTCTTGCTACAAAGTGACAGTGCTAACCACTTCTGCATCAAACTATATATATAGAAAGCTCTTCCTCAGTGACCTCAGTAAACACTTTCCTGAAGACTTTATAGGCTCAGGTGTTAATTTCACCCACATTGATTAAACTTTTGCTTTTTAATATTATACTCTCCCAATTTTGGTCAATATTGAGCCCAAAATAGGGGGAAAAAACCATCATAATTTAAAAAAAACACACACTAAAAAGCCAAGGCAGAAAGCAGAACTGTTAATAGAAACACCTCTGGAGTGCTCATTATTAAGAGGCCTCCTTACAAAGGGACTCATTCAAAGCCATTCACACCATAACAGCCACTTACTGCTACACAATGCCATAATGGACTGGAAAGAGCTTAAAGGGGAGGACTGGGAATAAAGGGACCGCGGTGCTTGTTATTAATAATTAATTATAGCAGGTAGAAGGCAAACATGGATAAACAAGCTGAGAGGAGAAGGAGGAGAGCGACGATGAATTCCTTCACGTTTCCATGCAAAATGCAAATCCACAGCACAGCTTCCATCTTAATCACGGAGACTCGCCTTACCTCAGGAAATGCTTCATCTCGGCCGCTGTTACCCCTCAGGTGTC